TACACTGCTCTAATTAATTTAGGTCCTTGTAAAACTCCCTCCCCCCTAAAATGGTCATCTGCCAGAACAGAACTTCTCTGATACGATGGCCTGGGACCAAATACAGGACACCATAATCAAGATATTTATATTTGGGGTTCATCGACTCTCTAGGGATAGCTCTAGTTCCTGAAGGAAGAGCTATTCAGATCTAGCTCTAAAGCAGAATTCCTATAAAGAAGAAAACACACCATCTGCTCACTGTCCCCACTTCCCCACGTTCTCTTTCCCATCTGAGCTGAAGGTAGTCCAGAAGAGAGGCTAACTCCGGACAACACACTAAGAATACTCTAGACGGCCATGCCACATAAAAGGTCTGACCTGAACTACAACACAGTTCTGGCCACTTCATGAGGAATCAACCCCAAGAAAGGGCAACGTTCTCTCTCCTAGGCAGGTGAACCCAAGGTCTCCATAATGGATGGATGCAAACACCTTTGCATCTATGTGGTCATTATTGTTAGGCACCATCGAGTTGGTTCGCACTCACAGCCACCCTATGTACAACAGAATGAAGCACTGCCCAATACCCCGCCATGCTCATAGCTGTTTATATGCGTATGCCCATTGCTGCAGCCACTGGGCTGCTCCATCCTGTTGGGAGTTTTTATCTTTTCTCACTGACCCTCTACTTCAGCAAGCATGGCGCCCTTTTCCAGACACTGGTCTCTCCTGATACCATGTCCACAGCACATGAAACAAAGTCACCTTCCTCACAGCCAAGGGGCATTCTGGCTGAACTTCCGCCAAGATAGATTTGTTTGTGCCTCAGGCAGTCCATGATACTTTCAATATTCTTCACCAATACCAAATTCAAGGGTATCAATTATTCTGCCATCTTCCTTAAGCTTTGTCCAACTTCCATAGACATAGGAGGCGAGTGGAAATAGCATGGCTTAGGTCAGGGGCACCTTAGTCCTCTTGTGCAGCACATTTGCTCAATGCAGCATGTTGTTTGAATTCTTGACTGGTGCTTCCATGAGCATCGATTGTCAATCCAACCAAGGCAAAATCCTTGACAATGTCTATCTTTTCTCTGTTTACCATGATGTTATCTATTGGTATAGTTGTGAGGATTTGGATTTTCTTTACATTGAGTTGCAATCCATATTGAAGGCTGCAGTCTTTAACTTTCCTTAGGAAGTGCTTCAAGTTCTCCTCACTTTCAGCTAGCAAAGGATACGCTATCTGCATATTGCAGGGTGTTAATAAGGCTTCCTCCGATCCATATGTTGTGTTCTTCTTCATATAGTACAGTTTCTCAGATTTGCTCAACATACAGACTAAATAAGTATTACAAAAGGATACAACCCTAACACAAAGCTTTCCTGATTTTAAATCATGCAGTTTTCCCTTGTTCTATTCAGACAACTGCCTCTTGTGCTATGAACAGGTTCTGCATGAGCACAATGAAGCATTCTGAAATCCTTATTCTTCGCAATGTTATCCATAGTTGGTTATGATCCGTACAGTCGAAGGCCTTTGCATAGTCAATAAAATACAAGTAAACATCTTTCTGGTAGTCTCTGCTTTCAGCCAAGATCCATGTGACACCAGCAATGATATCCCTCATACCACATCCTTCTGAATCTGGTGTGAATTTCTGGTGGCTTCTTGCTAATGTATTGCTACAACTGTTTTGGAATGATCTTCAGCAACATTTTACTTGGCAGGTGGTCTCCAGGATATTGTTCTATAGTTTCTGCACTGTCTTGGGTCACCTTTCTTAGGAACAAGCACACGTATGGATGCCTTCTAGTCAGTTGGCCAACTCTTCCCGTTTCTTGGCATACATGACTGAGTGCTTCCTGAGCTTCATCAACTTGCTGAAACATTTCAGTTGGTATACTATCAGTTCCTGGTGTCTTGTTTCTCACTAATATTTTCAGTGTAGCTTGTACTTCTTCCTTTAGTACCATTAGTTCTTGATCATATCCACCTCTATATGCATCTACCACATGCATATAGACATCATATGCATCTACAGTACTATCTAATTTATAATGAGAACCACAGATACGATTTCAAATTTTCTAGTAGCCACTTAAAATGTAAGAAAATTTGGCAAAATTAATTTTAATCTTGCATTTTATTTAGTAAATCAAGACATCAAATATGATCATTTTAACATCTAACCACGATTTAAACAATATTAAGATATTTCATATTTTTCATACTTAAGCCTTCAAAATCAGATATTTTACAGCTAGAGTAAATTTGGACCAGCCACAGTTTGGATGTTCAAGAGCACTATGTGGCTCCCGTATTGAACAGCAAGTAGCTAGAGTGCTTAGGTTTGATAGATGACAGGATGGCTTGTTTTCTCCGAAGACCCAGGGAAGTTACTAGAGGCATTAGTACCATGGATAGAAAATAAAAGTTTTATGAATAAAAGGGGGGAAAACATAAGCTGATTTCTTTGCCACACATTAAACCAACTACAGCTAGAATAAAGTTTTCCTGGCCATCTTGAAGTCCCTATAGAAGACCAAGCCTCCCATGTATGTCCACTTATGAAATTAGACCACGCCCACCAGGCTCTCTCATTAAAATAGGGGCAGATACCCAAACTCCATTCAGTTCAACTTAGAACCAAGTACTTCAGCCACATAATCCCATCGATCCTTTTTCAGATCGCTGGCAACTTCATTACCTCTCCTGGTAGTCTACTCCAAGCCCTTCTCTTTTCTATTTTGTTAAAAACTGGGCCAAATACGTCATGCTCCAACTCTACAGATGGAAAATATGAAGGATTTCTGAAAAAAGTGTGCTAAGGCTCTGAGGTAGAGTGAAAAAAATTACCAGAATGGATATAAAAGAGCAACACAGCATTAACTTCCATTCTCTAAGTATCCAAGGAAATTCCTAAGAAGGAAAAACTCAAAGAATAGATGACTAAATTTAAGAATAATAAAATCATAATTTAAATTGTCAGTCTGTAAATAGCCCCAAAAGTCCTAAGAAATAACCACAATCAAACAAAATCAAATCAGAATACAACTGATCTTTATGGTTTCTGAGACTGTGAATCTTTATGGGAGCAGACAGTCGACTCATTTTTCTCCAGTGGGCTTCAACCGTTGACCTTGTGGTTAGTAGCCCAATGCCTAGCTCACAGAGCCACCAGTGCTCCTTTGTTGGTGATAAGAAGGGCAAAATAACAAGGTTGTCACCAGAAATGAAAGAGCCGGCATAAGTGCAAAAGAGGAAGGAAACTTGAGGGTCAGTCTAAGTGACAAATAGTAGATCAAAAGAAACAGATAATATTGTCACAGTTAACTTATCTATCAGCACTGCCATCCTTTCTGGAAAGCAGAAAAACAAAGAAGGAAATGTTTGATATAGACTTGATAGCAAAGAGACATTTATTAAATATCCTGGAAAAAGAGATTTTAGTAAAACAGCATCTTACTGAGAAAATCTGGCCCAAGCTCAGGCCCTTCTAATGAACATCAAAGCCCAAAGCTTGAGTGTGGGGTCAAAGAGGAATCAGCAACACAATCACAATCCTGTTTAATCTTCATTGGCATCAGTACTTCAATACCACACAGAGCTTACTCTCTCACAGGCCAAAGGAGAGATTAGAATGGGGTCAAGTTCCTAACAAATATATTACCCTGCCCAGTAGAGCTGTGGGGATCACGAAAAGAGAAAAACTCTTAAAATCTTTCTAGGTATTGTTTGCATGTAATTGTAATTAAATTCACAGTACTTTTTTTTTTCCTTTTTTTGGGAAAAATCTACTGCAGAAATGGCAAAAGCAGGTTAGAGAGAAGACAGAGCTGCGAGAAGTCCTAGCTAGGATCAAGACAGCATGAAGAATTCTAGGGGAAGTCCAGTTCTAGGAGCATGCTGTGGGAAAGTATGTTAAAGCCTGTTGGAGGGTTAGAAGCAGAGATGTGTGCCCTTCCAGGAAGTTACGTTATTGAAGATTGAAACCCTTTTTCTTTTTTTCGAATCATAGTCTACTGCTCTAATGGACTCCAGATAATTAGATGCTACTGATAAGAAAAAAACATTCCAAGACCAAAGGACAGCAGGTAGTAATGCTTGAGATCCAACATGACTTCTTGGCTGGGCTCAATCCAACGCAGGTGGGGCAGTCTCTTCCTGATCACATTAGCTTCTTTGCTTCTTGTGTGTTCTACATGAAGTCAACCAATCTCTCTCAAAGAGGCAAGCTACTAATCATGGGAGTAACCAGTTGATAACAGACAGACAGGTTAGGAGGTTTAAGTAGGTAGATCAATAAAAGGGAGGGAAAGAGGGAAGACAGAAAGGAAAATGATTCAAAGAAATTGAAGCCAAATTTTTCCATAAAATTGCCCACACCAACTTCAGAAATCTCCAAGAGGCTACAAAAGTATGTAGGGCTACTCTTAGAAGAACTGTCTATTTCTGTGCATAAAGGAATACAAGAGAGGAACGATGAACATGCATGATGGGATCATAAAGATAATGTCATCAAGAATCCTTGCCCAATCCTTTGCCCAATTAAAGGATGAACCATTGACGTGAGACAAAGCTCTGCCCATGAACAAAGAATGAATCCTGAACTTCTTGCAGCTTGTACAATTCACTTTTGCATTGAAGTATGTCCCATTTCTCTCAGATACTTACTAAGCATCTACTACCCGGTCAGTGTGCTCCTTTTCCCAGGTAGTAAGTTCAGGGTCTGTCACTGATGCTCTTCTCTCCTCTCTGCCATAGCACCTACCACAGAGCCAGAGTCGGAGCAGCTGCCCAGGAAGTGCCTGTGAACTAATTTACTTCCATCAAGTGGACATATGGGAATATATGTGGCTAGCACTGCAGGCATCTATGCTGTACAAAGACCCTGCTCGGTTACACACTGGCCCCACAGCAGCCCAGAGGTAATTTGTGAAAGGTTCCCAATTTCCAGTCTCCCTCTGGTTGCCAACCCAGGTCTCATTCTGGGGGATTCATCATCCCAAACATACCAGTCCACTGTGGAGGGCAGCGGCAGTTGTAAGTGTTGACCCCATCCACACAAACCCCTGCATTCTGACACTTGTGGTTGGGGCAGTCATCAATATTCCGTTCACAGGTACTCCCTTCAAATCCTGGTAAGAGAAGAAGACAGAGACAGTGAGGGACTCTCACAACAGAAGTGACCTGCATTTCCTACGAAGGAAATGGCCATCAGAACATGCGTCATTATCTCAGTTCAGCTGTCAGTAGCTGCTCAATCCATAGGAAAAAAGCAAAACAAACCCATTTCGTTGGCTTCTCAGGCCCCAAGCATAGCTAGACAATAAGAGTGATTCAAGTCAATGATATACTTTATAGCCACCTCACAAAAATGTCAAAATGCTTTCATGAGATAAAATCCTGGTGAAGATAAATGCTTACTCGAGTCGGATATTCATGAGTTCTGAAAAACAGGGTGTTCGACTTCTCTGAAGAAGCCCTAGTGGTGCAGTGGCTGAATGCTCAGCTGGTAACTGAAAGGTCCCCAACTTGAGCACACTCGCAGCTTTGCAGAACTATGGGACAGCCGATGCCGCACAGACCAGTCTTCGAGTCCTGATGAAGTCATTCTGCTTCGTCTTGCAGGCTCACCGGCGCGAGCACGGACTGAATGGAATGCTTCTTATTTTGTTTTGCTTTTTTAGATTATTTTAGGCCCAAGAATAGATCACAGAATGGCTTGGCATTCTTATCGGTTCAATGAGGTTGGCTCTTCCTGTTCAGCCTACACTCCTCATAAGGTAGTTATCAGCTGTCTGGAGAAAAGTGCTATACAACTGTAAAAAGTTCTATGAAAATGGAGTGGCATAATTAGACTTAACACTTTCAAGTTCTCCCTGCTCTTCTCTACATTTATAGACTTGTTTCCTTCCTCTTCGCTTTTCCCCTTTATGAAAAATGAAACTAGCACACCAAACTCCACCCTAACTGCCCGCAGAGTCTTCTTCTGTAATTTACATTCCGGCTTCTTCATTTCTCCCGCTTTGCTACCACGTCCCTTAGCTGACGAAGCAGAAGGCCACACCAACTATTCTCTTAATTGAAACATGGGGTGACCAAACTAGGGATTTGGTCTCCTCAACTATCCCTCAAGTTTCTTCTATCGCATTCAAAATACTTACTGAGTCTTGCATGGATGTAGCCATGAGATATCGCTCTAAGTACAAAAAGAGAGTCTCTGTTTGGGGGCATTTACACCTAGCGTTTGGGACAGGCATCGGGCACAGCTTACTTTATTCACTCCTTACCATAAGCTACTCTGCTATTCTACCTCTGCTCTGGTCCACTGGTGAGACATCGCTGGCATGTCTCAACACAGTGGCGGGGATGTGAATGAGTATAATCCAAGTATACTCAAAAATACTACTTGGGGTAATTGGAAGACAAGAATAAGTGAAGGCACGGGTGACGAAAAGGGTATTTCTCTAAGCACTTGGTAATCAACCACTTCAAGTAGATGAATCACAAAGTAAACTGGAGAAAGACAGGAAAATTTAGTCAACTCTGATTTTTTTTTTAAAGTATCATATTCATGTATATGTTTGATCATATGAAAGTTTTACAAACAAATTAATGAGCCCCAAAATGTGGAACTATCTTATCTCAGTATTAATTATAATTTTTTTAAAGTGAGACCAACCAT